AAAAAAATATTTTTATGTCTTGTTTTTAATAAAAAAATTTAAAAATATGTTTTTATTTTCATTTTATCTAGATCCTTTAGTTTTAAGGGACGTATAATATAATTACATACATTTAACAAGTTATATAATTATTTTGTCCGAGCAATGAGTTGGTTTTAAAAAATATATTATTTAATAATTATTATAAGGTTTATCCTCGCAAATACGGGATGGTGAAATATTTTATATTTATAAGGTTTTATTATTTAATAGCCGACATTTGTATACGAATTTAGGAGACGTATAATATAATTATATACATTTAACAAGTTATATAATTATTCTGTCATAATAATAATAGGTATTCTACGGTGAAAATCTATTATCTACATATAACGACGGCGGTGTATGAACAAATAGGACCCGGGTCATGGAGATCACAACCATATGTATGGTAACAACATGGATCTAGTTGTCTCGGGATCTATTTGTCATCCTTTGATCAAAATGTCTCACTAGTAACCAGTAACCATGTTAGTTAAATAAAAATGTTATTATCATTATCAAAGTTAATAAATTTATAATTTGAGTTTTAACTTTTAAGTATTAAGTAATAAATTAAATTGATCAAATTTGAGTTTTGACGAAAATTGCACACAATAGGTAGGTATATATTATGTAATTTATTTATATTATGGCATTATGTATTCATACATTTCGTTGTTTGCATGCAGAAGCTACTGGCCTGGTTTGACATAGGCAATAAGGAGTGAGAAAGACCTTTATTGTATTAAACTAAATTTTAAGAAGTTTGGAAACTTAAATCTTAGTTTGCAATTGTCCTGGTTTGATGATGTTCTATAAAAATACTATATAATTCACATAATATATGAATTTATTACTTTATATACATTCATAATTTTACAAATAATTAGCCTTAGGTCCAAGAAAAGAATTAATCAGTAGTAGATGTTCTTGTATTAAACTAGCCTTTGTTTTTTATTTTCACAATAATTTTCTTTTCTCAGTCTGTTTTTAATTAATATTAGATCTGAATATTTGATGATAGTTACTGTATGATGAAAACATTTTGCTTAACATTATGAAACAACACATTTTCAATTTAGTATATAATATAGTATATTTAGGATTTTAAGTAGATTCATATTGTTTGTGAAACATCAGCGATCCAAAAGAAGTTAGTTTTGAATGAAGTTGAAGTCAATTTCAACAGTAAAATGAAATAATAGTTTATTTTCAATGATATAATTTATTTTACTTATTTTTTATGGCTTTTAACACAAATCCTTTTATCTGTCAAACTAAAACAATACAATAATATTATTTGTACAGTAGTCGTAATAGTGTATATACGACTGAGTGACGTGAAGTTGCTCTTATCTCAAAGGCTCAGGTACATCTGATTATGCTGTGTTAGTGTGTTCATAGCCTCTGTTTATACAATGTCGGCTCCTTTGATATGGACAGCTGGTGGGAAGTTGCTGTTTTCGCAAACAATGTAACCACTTGGCTCGGCCACTTGTAATGCTAATTTTATTATAATTGCAGAATTTTTGAAGGATGACTGGCTTGCGATTTTGAAACTTGCACCTTGCTGTTAAATGTTACCTATGAATCTATTGATTTATAGACATGTTTTTACCAATTTGTATAATTCAGCTTATACATTTGTCACCCTCAAGTAATATGAATATTATATAATATTACTTTGATACCATAGGTAAATATAGAATAATAATGAACAATTTTGAAACACATTACAGATATATTAGGTATAATATTTTATTGTATTACTCTAAAATAACGACAATTTGTGTAATGACTGCTCGGCAAAGTGGACAAACCAATCTATCTAATCCTTCAAAACATTCACCACACAAACAGACATGGTTACATGGCCTTAGCACTACATTTGATCCAGCATTCATGCATGCCACACACACCACAATTTCTCTCATGTTTTCAACTGAAAAATAATTTGTAAGTTTAAAGTATTATAATATCATAATATATTACTTATTTGTTTATACATTAATTTGTATAAATCGTTAAATAGAATAAGAGAAAATGGCTTATAAGCTATGTACATATGTCATAATATGACAATGGCACAATGCGTATGTCTTCTAATAAAATTTTCTTGGGTGTCCTTCACATAATAATAATAATATAGTTATTATTCATTAAACATATTTATGTTATCATTTATATCATACTTCCCCAATTTATCTGGCATAATACTTTGCCAATTATGTATAATTTATAACTTATAATAATTGAAAAATCACAAATGAGTGAAAATGTGCAGTTTTAGAAATGAGTTGAGAAAATTTAATCTATCAATCTAACGCTTATTAATTATATACATGTATACTTTTTAAATAGTAGATAATATTTAGAATGTTTAGTCTATTACTGTGGGTAAAATTTTAGAAGACTGGCATAACATTTATATTTAAAAATACAATATACCTTCATCATTTGATCTTCTTATGTTTACGTGAGGAAAATCATTAATGGGATTTATTACTTGTTGCTGTGGTTCAAATTCAAATGTTGGCCATACCAATGGTTCTAGAACAAGGTATATATTTTATCATTTTTATCTTATGTAAAAAATTGTTTAAAAAAATGTATCATTACCAATATTTTCCACCACGTATGGTACAATTTCATTATCCAGCTCTAAAACATAATCATATAATAAAATAAATTATATAAGAAATTTAAATTACCCATTGATAACTAAATAATATTTCAACACCTAACCTATCCCTAGTCAGTATATTAACTCACGCCAAACATCACCTGGCCTTACATCTTGGTCTGCATAAATGGGCAATGGTAGTAATAATGGCAGGTTATTATGCCTCAGAACTCCCTGGAAAAATGGTGGTGGCGATTCATAACCAATTATCACGCGATCTCTTGGTTCTAGAATTATTTATTTATCTTATGGCAAAAAAGTAATACAAAAAAAGTCTATGATTACCAATGTTGTCCATTATATTTAAAACTGGTTCAACAATCTGTGCTTGTAACTCTAAAATATTAAAAATTATTAAATAACTTGCTACACAAATTTACATTCAATAAGAAAATCCATGATTACCAATGTTGTCCATTATATTCAAAACTGGTTCAATGATTGGTTCGACAACCTGTGCTTGTAACTCTGAAATATTAAAAATTATTAAATAACTTACTATACAAATTTACATTCAATAAAAAAAAATCTATGATTACCAATGTTGTCCATCATATTTAAAACTGGTTCAATGATTGGTTCGACAATCTGTGCTTGTAACTCTAAAATATTAAAAATTATTAAATAACTTGCTACACAAATTTACATTCAATAAGAAAATCCATGATTACCAATGTTGTCCATTATATTCAAAACTGGTTCAATGATTGGTTCAACCATCTGTGCTTGTAAATCTAAAATATTAAAAACTATTAAATAATTTATCAGAAAAATGTATATTTTAATTAATAATAAACAGTAATATAACACAACTATAAGAGTTATAATATTCACCTTCATTGTGAACATTAGGGCGCTCTACTCCAAAATTTGGTGTTACATGTTTAGTGTAACCCAAGAACTCTGCTACACTAAAACGATTCTGTTCGAGCTTTGTTAGGCCCAAGGTTATTTTTTTGTCCTGTTTGTTGCTCGCACGTGGCCTAGGTTGCCAGACTTCTATGCCATCTACTGCTAACCGGTAATCATTCATGATTCCATGAACGTGTGTAATAAGGTTTTCTGATGATATAAAATTTTTTAAAACGAAAATGATGTATTATTAAAAAACTATTGATTATTTATTAAAATCAATCTTATTCAGTGTTTACCTAAAAATAACCATGGGCTTGGATTAGGATTTTGCATATTCGTCATTAGATTTCTATGACTAATTTCTAAGACATTATTAGTTCGTCTATTTTGATGGCTTACTGACAGCATCTCAGCAAAAATACCTGTACAAATTATAATAGTAAAATAACTGTAGCTGACCACGGTGAAACTATAAAATATATTATTATTACATTTTATAACCAATTATGAGCAAACAGTAATGTTACCAAGATTTATTCAAGTCAGCTGGGGACGAACAAATTTTTTTGACATAAATGACAAGTGGCAGCTATAAGCCAAATCAATATCAGAATTTTGATATAGTTCAATAAATGTGATACTATTACACTTTTCAGGGGGTTGGGGTGAGGATTCCCTTTTCATACTTTTTTCTGATTTAAATTTGTTTGATAAATCTGAATATCAAATAATTTGAAAAATTGAACATACATTTTTAGGTTATCTACTAAGTACTCAAAAAAGAAATTTTAAAATCTTTAGCTCTTAAAATCCATTCGGAGATATTAATCAATATTTCCTTTTAAATAAATAATCATTATAATAATATCAGAAATAAAGACTCATTGTATATTAATAATTAATAATTATTCCCAAAACTATATGGCATGTTCACCTCATCACCTGTCACTATTTTATATCCGTTAGAAATAAAATTAATAATGTAAAACTTTTTAAATGATAATTGTATACTTAATACCTATTGTAAGTATTCATATTCTTATTAAATTAATTTAATTGTTTATCCTATATTAATTGTGTACCTATAGAAAAATATGTAGGTTATTTAGTTATTTTTTTTTTATCTCTATTCTATCTATACCATATTCTGTTATCCGCATTGTAAATTGGATCAACTGGCCATTATTTAAAAAATAAATAAATAATTTTACTTTACATAATTTATATCTATACTAATATAATAAAGTAGAAAAATTTGGATGTTTGTAACAAAACTTAAAAACTACTGGACCAATTTCAAAAATTTTTTCATCATAAGAATGCTACATTACCCCCGAGTAACATAGGCTAATTTAATTTTCCTCGGTCCAACCTAGGAAGGTGCTCTAACAGTGATTTTGAGTATGGTTAGGTTAGAATAACGGGGTTTCAGTTATTATGTTACCTGATAAATAAAATAGTTATTATGATTGGATATAATTTACACTTGTATTTGATGTTTGATAAACAGAACCCAAATAACAGCTGTATTAAAAATGTGTGCAGTTTACATTTAACAGAGATTAAGAAGAGGTAAACCCACGGGTATTTAATTTGTCACGGGCAACACCGTACAGGATCAGCTAGTTCATAAATATTATTTGTTTATATTTTCAAATTACCCGTCAACCATGTTCTTCTATAATACTCCAGGAATTTATGTATACTTTCATTTTCGGTTTGTCCAATATAGTTTTGAATTTCCATACGGTACATTCTCCTGATTTCGTCAAAACCTTCATCCAGCCTTTGGTTTGGCAATAACGCAATTGCCATTACCATTCTAAAAAAGTCATGCACTTTCCTGTTTTCTTTGTACAAGTTTGTTAGTCCTAGAAATTATTTCCAACAATTTATAAATTAATTTGTATTTTTGTGCTTAAATAAAAAATATTTAATAAATTACAAAACTATTATTATTTTGTCTATTCAATTTTTCAATCTGTTATACATAGGTATTCTAAGATTTTACCTAGTTCTTGTATTTTTCGCCATACACTTTGAGATGAGTGAAACCAACACCCTACAACTCTGGCTGTTGGAAAAACTGTATGTATGGCATTAATAGAAGCTCGTTCAAAGTCTGTCATAACAGTAGTCGGTTGCCAAGTTGGTTCAATAGTCTTGATGTATAAAAAAAGAGCTTTATATGCTTGTTCAGTTTTCCTGGACATCAGTGCATACACTAAAGGAAAACCCTAAATATATATATATATATAAGTAGTAACTTTATTGTTTTTTCAGTTTTTTGTGGAATGAAATGGAATTTAATGGTTTATGTTTCTGTGCACGAGTTGAACAATTGTTTTATTTTGTTGGTTTTATAATATCCCCTACTATGTTAATCAGGTAGTAATTTCAAAAACTTGAATTCTTAAAAGGAAATTCTCATTAAAAAATGTAATATTATATAATAGCCAATGGGGTTATACATAAACTAGTTTAATTATGCTAATGATAATATTTATAATGCACATGTACACAAACTTAGTAATATTACAACTAAAAATGTGTGGTAAAAATACCCTTAAAAATATGTTTGACTATAAATCCTTCAAAAAAAGTTAAAACTGTTTAATTTCAATAAAATAACTTACTACGTCGTAACTAACACCCATCAGCACGAATAATTGCTGGCATTGGCCACCAAATCTTGGTGCAGCATTAAATGTGCCATCAATAAAAAATTCTGTACTAGTCCTAAAAATACTAAACCCAACATAATGATTAATATGAAACGAAATAATATAATATTTGAAGACATTAATATTTACAGATGTTTATTTAACTCACTTCTTAACATGAGGTGTCACAAAAACTAATGTTACGCCTTCTTCTTCGGTTGTGCCTATGCTGCCGTAAAAAAAAGGTTGGTCTTGGATCACAGTCAAATTTGAGTATAAAGGGCTTTCCATCTGCAGTTTAAACTCATGCATAGATCCAGGGTTTGGTGGTTGGTGGGCTCTTCTAGTACGAGCCATTTGCCGTCTATGACTCTCATATGGGTCTATGTTTATATTTGCAAATCTTGGTAATGCAGTGACCTCATTATATATTGCCCTTAGTGACAAACGCTCACTTTTTGCACGCTGGTGTAAAATATTTTTAAATTCCCTTAATAATTCTCTTTCCTCGTTATGCTGATGACCAGTATTCAAAATTACAGTATTTGGCTCAGCATTTAAAATTTTACCTCGAGCAGGACAGCTGTATCAAGTAAATAAAATGTTGGTACTATTATTTATTATGCACCAGTTTATAAATTTATGACTCAACTATATTTTTAACCTGCGCTGCTTCATCCATAGTTAATAAACTCAAAAACTACTGGACCATTTTAATAAAAAGTTATACCAATAAATTCCTTGAGAATTGGAGGGTGTTAATATCTTATTTTATAACTCCCATAAGTTCTTAAAAGAAAAAAAAAAAAAGAAATTTTGAACATTTAAAATATGTACTCTTCGGATACAATACATCGGTTAATGAAACAACGAATCAGTCTCCATTTTATTTACTGAACGGTTATCATCCAAAATCAATTTTCGATTATAATCTTATTAGCACAGATACAGCCACCAGAAATTTTAAACGAATTAGAAAAATTAAATAACATAAGAGACGAGTTACCAAAATTACTGGAGGAAAAGTTTTTAAAAAATAAAAAACATTATGATTCATACAAAAAACAAATAAAATTTGTAGTAGGGGAAAAAGTCTTAGTGAAGATAGAAAACAAAGGATCGAAATTTGCATATAGATACGAGGGACCATTCAAAATTGTGCGACAAATATCAGAGGTTACATATGTAGTGGAAATAACCAAGAACGGACAGTTAGTTAACGACTATAAACACGTTAGTCAATTAAAAAAATTTAAATGCCGAGAAAATAAAGAAATAACATAGGTAAGAAAAACAGTTAAGCGCATTATAATATATATATTTTAAGTTTAATATATTACATACTGCATATTAGTATAAATATATACTTTAGGTGGGTAGTAATTAATGTAAGATATATAATATACGACCACAGGATTGTTTAGAATATAATGAAATCGCACTTAATACATTAATTTTTTTTTTTCTGTCAAATGAAATGTAATATCTAAGAATTCACAATACATCATAATGCTAAAGAAGCCACGGTTTATAAATATAAAATACATATATACTATACTATACTTTATATACTATAAAATATCAAATTAACATTTTAGTAATATGACTAATATGAATGATATATGTGAATGATTGAGAAAAATAATAATATAATTATAATTAACAAACGTAAGCTGAATATTTACTTTAAATAAAAAAATATACAAACAAAAAACACAGCAAAAAAACATACTACCGATTACTGAAGCATTTTACCTGTATAGACAAGAATCAGTCTTATAATAATAATATAACAGTGGAAGAATTTGTCGAAATCTAAATATATTACATGATAATTGGTAGACGAAATATTATAGTAAAAAGTGGCTCAACTTGGCCCTGGTTAATAATTAACTAAATTATGTAATACTTATATATTTATATTTATTTTTGTTTCTATAATGATAACCTAAAAGTTGAGTTTCAGATACAAGAGATGTCATATACCAATTTAGCTGGGTTAACCAACCTAGAACAACGAACAATATTTATTGATTAATTAAATTATTTATGGATTAAGGTTATTTTATGCAAATTATAATATGATGGGATAAATGTTAATAATTTTTTTTTTATTATATGTTTTAGAGTACTATATTTTTATAGATATAATCAGATATACTTTTATATTGTCGATTATTACTATTAAATAGAAATATTATTAAATTATAAAAAAATAATAAAAACAGAACATAATAATAATTAGAAAATGTAAGACCAACACTATTTGTATAAATAAAAAGTATAATTTGCCTCTGGCGCAGTATAGAAATACTCGCAAGCAAGTACTTACAATACACAAATAGTCTGCACTTGGTTAATAAAGAAATATTGTTCTAGAAAGTTTTTGATAAGCATCCTATTAAAATAAATATTATGGTTAATGGGGATAATTGACAATATAATTATATTATTTTATATTATATTTTTTTGTAATAATGTATAGAATATGAGGGGTAAAAAAAATGTATAGCATAAAAATGTAAAAAGAAGAAACATAGAAAAATCACGAAAAACCTTCAATCAACAGTCCACTATCACCATACCAGTCAACCCAGTCAGTCCATCCAGTCAACCCAGTCAGTCCATCCAGTCAATCCATTCAGTCAATTCAGTCGGATAACGGATAAAAACGATGTTCAAAATTTCTTTTGTAATTTTTTTTTTTTTTTTCTTTTATTTTTATATTTATACCACATTTAAAATGTTCAAAAAAAAAGGGAAGGGGGGTGTAACATATGTTACATCATTACCTATGTCATAATATGCACAATAGGCATATTATGCGCTGACCATAATATATTGCCCCTCTGGCTTAGGTGTCACTTATATATTTTATTACTGTAAGGCTCCGGCCAATATAGATATGTAAGAGACAGACAGTTCTCGGCGATTACCAGCACGCGCACCTTGAACTCCGTACAATAGCACATTTTGATAACTTTGTCCGTAAATCAGTAAGTAATAATAAACTTGTTTGTATCAATAATAATTCAGATAAATAGTTATTTATTTGTAATATTAAGATCCTAATACCATTCATGCTCCCGAGCTACGGTGAAAATATATTCAAAAGAAACTAATTTCTTCACTGAATATCCTATATTTAACGGGTCATCCCCGACCACGTTACAGTAGGTAAGCAGTATAACTCAGTGCCCACACATTGGGTACATATTATAATACTATTATAATTAGTAGAAATATGGCATATAATTTACGAATATATTTATGACAAAAACTAATTATTGACACGGGTAATTAGGATTAGTATAAAACTATATAATTCAATATCAATACAAGTAACTGACAAAATTATATAAATTAATTGGCGGATATAGTACTAGTCCCTAGCTCTGCTCAAATTTAAAATAATAAGTTTTTTTCTAGATAAAACAATTCTTTTACTGAATAAAAAATAATAACTTACTTTGACCGCCACAACGAACACCTAACATTATAGCCGTCTCTACGCATTTGATGCTTCCAATACTTGTTCCCATGTTCATCTCTTAGAGAAAATCCTCGACCATTCAACCCAGAAACTTTTTTAATGTTCAATGTTTGCATTATTAAAATTGTACAGACAAAGATAAAAATTTTAACTTTCAATTAAAATATGTAAAAGCTTGGGATAAATCCAACTGATGACAATCTAAACTTTATGAATGGACTTTCAAGACTGTGACAGTATCTAATAAATGAATTCCCTAATAAATCCATTTCCATCTCTCTATTATTTCATGGTACCAAACTGAAATAAAGTTGCTATCTCATAATTCTAATTATTGGTACCCTTATTTTCCTGACTAATGGGAGTTTTAATTCTGGTTATTTCTCAATTTTAATTCTTACATAACATTGCATTTGGTCAATTAATAAATAACTTGAATTTGAAGGAATAGTAATAAATAGATTTGAGGTGATTGAAGAAAATCTGAAAATATTTATTACTATATCCCTATAAAGTTATTCAAAGTAGAAACCTAAAATAGTGGAAATTTATTCACATGTTCCTATTAATAATAATAACAAGTAAATTAGCTACTTGTTAAAAATACACTTATAAAAGCTTTATATTGTTCTTTAATAGTAAATTAATTACAAAAAATAAATAAATTGTACAATTATTATTCCAACATAATATATTGACTATTTGAGTTAATATAAGTCCAAGCAATAAAGAGTTATTGCTTAGCAAGGCCATATCTGTGGGGTGTCCAGGGGGTCTATATTTCTTTGATATGTCTTATTTTTAACCAAATATCAAAACCTAAATTCAATCAAATTACAATACACATGTTTTAAACAATCAATAATTTATAACTGATGAATATATATAAATATTAAAAAGTAAAAACAAATAAATTATTTGTAATTACAGAAATTATATCCATTATAACAAATGTTGAAAAACATTTTCAATAATTTTGTTGGCATTCCTACGCTTCCGAAATTGTGCGATTTCATCGTAAACTATTTTACTGAGAATTCAGAAAACGAGGTTACCTATTATAGATTAATGATTATAGTTTATAGGTAACGATAAAACGATTCTTACAATGTCCGGTAGCATATTAACATTCCGCACATCAAATAAAACCCATAGGGAAATACGGCATTCTCATTGGTCTGAAATATTTAGCGCCAAATTCAAATTTAAATTACGATATACTATATACCTATACTACTATATATTATTTACTATTTAAAAAATAAACTACCTTATTTACCAATTTCAATATT